AGAGAGAGAGAGAGAGAGAGAGAGAGAGAGAGAGAGAGAGAGAGAATCTTGTGACTTTGAAACTTGACGATGTTGGATTCAAGATCGACATTGGGATTCAGATATTTGAAGAGGGACTATTTGAGACTTGTAACGAAACTTAGTGTTGACGATATTCCCACCTTTTCCCCTCTTCTTCGTCTGATCCCCTCGTCTTCATCTGATTCCCTTCCGCTTCTTCGTCTGATCCCCTTCTCTTCGTCTATGTATGGCTGACCTGACGCCTCCTTCCTGTATATAGCGCCAGACCCCTTCACACCATGGGACGATGATGATGTTGGGGCTGCATTGCAATATTGATTGTCGGATCATTGGTATCTAAGTCTTCCGCTACGCTATCCTGTGCTTTGTATGAGAGGTCGGTTTTGTTCTGGTCTACACCTATACGGTATGTGACGGGGTGTGCGCTCGTGTGTGAGAAAGAGAGAGAAGGAGAGAGAAAAGAAGAGAGAAAGGAGATAAAAGGATGATGATGATGATGATGATGTTAATGATGTGAGGACACATACCTTGTATTGACGGTAGTCTGCATGGGCGACATCTTCTAGTTCTTCGGGTTGCCGCTGACGTCAACAGTTGCATTGTCTTTTTGTAGTCTGTAGTAGCTGTGTAGAAGTAGGCTGGGCGCTGGGCGCTAAGATTAAGTGTGAAGGAACTAGACTCTTGTGCTGAGAGGAGAGAGTATGCTCTCCTTGGACATTGGTATTTAGTGCTACGAACCTCCATTGGTGTATTATAGGTGCAATGTTGCTCTTTGGACACGGTATGACTATCTGGCTTCAATGCGATGGTGTAATCTGAAGTTGTCATCTGGCTGTGCTTATCTTCGTTGTATTATTATTATTATTATTATTATTATTATTATTATTGTCCGATGTCTGTGTGTTGGGGAAAAGAGTGTGGGAGAAGAGAGAGACGTACCTGGATAGAGAAGAGAAGTCGGCATTGGTGTCGATGTCATCACTCGCTGGTCGTCAAGTTGTCTATTTGCTTTCATGCTGTAGTTGCAGTATTAGGCTGTAGAGTAGATAGGGAGCCTGGCGCCATTCAAGAGAGAGAGCTACACTGGGTTAGGCTGTTGGTGTTGGCCGATTGGGCTGGGACATTGACTCATGATTCTGTCGTATCGTTCTCAAATGGATGGTTACTCGGTTCCATTGTGCTATCTGCTCTTGCTTTGACTACTCGGACTTCAGTGGGATTTTGTAGTTTGGATTTCTGTGCTTCGCCCACATTCTCGTTTCTTGCATTTTTTTTATATTTATTATTAATTATTATTATTATTATTATTATTATTATTATTATTATAATTATAATTATTATTTGCATGATTTTTGGACACGTGGCACCTGTGTATTGGGGTTGTGAGTGATACGAGAGACATACCTGGTGCTGGACACGTGCGGCATTGTCCAAGATCTGCTCGTACTTCAGAAAGCGGTTGTCGTCAGCTTCTGCATTGTAGTATAGGATAGTTAGGATCTGCCACATGTAGTCTGGGCGCCGAGCGCCAGACAAGATATCAACTCTGGTTCTTTGTTGATAACGATGATGGGACTATTTCAGTATTGTCAACTGTGAACTCTTTGTGTGTTCTTATTTGGTGAATCTCGTGATGCAAGTCTGTTGTTGGTTCGAGATCAAGACTATCTGGTCTCATATGTATGTTGCTGTTTGATTTCTAAAGTTCGCTATTGCTCATCTCCCTTGCATATTATTATTATTATTATTATTATTATTATTATTGTTATTATTATTATTATTATTATTATTATTATTATTATTATTATAATTATTATTATCAGTATTAGTAAGATCATACTAGCTTTCGTTCACGCTTCTCAGGCATGCAAGCAGTCGCGTAGCAAACCGGCGACAAGCGCCTAACTCAAAGCTCGAAGATATGGAAACCAGGACACAGTTCAGATGCAGGCTCGCTTCAATAAACTACGGCGCTCAACACTCTTACATCGTAGTGGTCAACACCGCTGCTCGCTTCACTCTTCTACTCCGGATCACCCTGAATACCCCGCATACACGTTCCATACACTTTCTCTCACAAAGACAGGACAGACAGATACAGACAGGGAGAACAGACGAAGATTGGGACAAATAGACTAAAACAAAAGGGATCTGACAAGCTAGACAGGGGGGGGGACGAACAACCG